TTTCAAGAGACTTGGCAGCGAGGGTGGGGGAGAGGGCATATGGAGAGAAAAATCATCTATTGAGCACGTCCTCAGCTAGGCATTATACCCACTAATGCTTATAAGAACACTGCACAATACTACTGCAGAGGAGATATTTTCTCTCCTGTTCTGCAGAAGGCAAAACCATTTTAACAAATTATATACCTTGCCCAGTGTCACAGCTAGTAAGTGGGAGAACTGGGGTCCAGATTCCAGTCTTGAGTTTGTCCCATCATGCCACACTGCAACCTTTTAAGTAAAAGGGCCAGACCGAAGTGGCGTGCTGCTGCAGTGGCCTTGCTGTTGGCATTAACATAACTGACAGAAGGTTTCTGATAAATTAATGGACTGGGTGCTTGCTTTTAAATTTTTCCTTTGAGGTCTACAATTTGTTTGTTTCAACATTTTATTTAAATTCCAGTTAATTAACATATAGTGTAATATTAGTTTCAGCAATAGAATTTAACAATTCATCATTTACATATTAACACCCAGTACTCATCATAACAAGTGCCCTCCTGAGTACCCATCACCCACTTAGCTCAACTCCCTGCCCACCTCCCCTCCAGCAACCTCGAGATCTATAATTTAATAAGTAAATGGTTTTCCTACTCTCCTATTTAATGATTAATTCAAAATTAGCTATGTCTTTCCTAGGCTAACAAATTGATGTATCTCTGTGCTGACTTAACAAGTTAACAGTCATATAGGCATATAGGCATCTGTTTTCATCTTAGGAATTATATTGCTTTTCTGTAGAGTTATACATTAAACGCCCACATAAAATGTTGTGCCTTTAATTTCAGAAATTAAATTTATATTTTAATTGAACAGGTCACACAAGAAATTTCAGATAACACAAGAATTTTTAGACTGCTTGGATCTGACAGGTATGGAAAGGGGTTGTATTAAAAACATAGTATTAAATGTGTTTTATAAATCCAGCATGAAACTGATTTCTTTTTCAAGGGAATTGAAATTTCTACAGTAATATATTCAACATTGTATTTTTCACAGTAAAGAACCCACAAGTGAGGAAATTATAAAGCCTTTGAGAATGTACCTGCTCTTCCAAATAACAGGAATATATAGATGTGTCAGTACTAATTTTGCATTAAACGTGCTGTCTAAAGTAAGATTTACATGTAGCACAAGAAAGAAGAAATACCATATGCTAACAAAACCTTTTGGTTTTAGTGCCAAATAGAATTTTTAGGTTCTATTCTGATATATTTCCTGATTCTTGAATGACAGATTGTTTTATACTTTATGAGAATAAGTTCCCCAAATTATTCCAAAAACAGGTTTACCATCCCCCGACCCCCTGACTCTTAAAATAGCACTGGCTTAGAGGTGGGAGGTGGTGGGCAGCAAAATTACCTACCAGAGCTGGAATTGGTTCTTTAATCATAGTGATTTGGAAATGATTGTCTGCCCACAAATCAAATAAACAAGTATTTATGGAGGCACAAAATGAAGAAGCAATGGAAAATGTTTCTGCTAACATTAGTTTTCAAGAATAACTTTGTTTTTCTTCGTGTTTTTCGTTGTTGTTTATTACTTTTAGGGTCGTGGTTTTGGAAAGTAGGCCAACTGATAACCCCACGGCAAATAGCAATTTATACATCCTGGCGGGTCATGAAAACAGTTACTGAGCAATGTTGTGCTGCGACAGCTAATGCCAGAAAGGAAGGACACTACGGGGATAGCGTTAACGACTGCTTGAAGCTGTACAAAGGCTGCAGTGACCTGGCTTCAGTTACTTGTAATTTATTGTGGCATGAGAGAGACGGGGCAAATTTCTGTTTTAAGTGGTAGGGATATATTTAGCATATTGAACCACACAAGTGCTTAATTCATTGTTATGTAATCTTTGTACATATAGGCAGTATTTTTCTGTGAAACTTCATATTGCTGAAGACATACACTAAGAATTTATGTAGATAATGTACTTTTATGAGATGTACAAGTGACTGTCTTATCTGTACAGATGTAAATGTTGATAAAAAATGCAATTGGGGTTAATATTTTAAGAATTCTTTAGTATATTCTTGGGTGTGGCTATAGTACAACATGGGATGCTGGCGATGAAACAGTACATTTAACACTTGTATTTTTATTATGTAATTTAGTAATATGAATATAAATCTTGTAACTTTCAAAATTGTAATGGAGGCTATAATCATTTTATAATCTTGTTTTTAATTTTAATGCAAGTACACTGGTGTTTATATTTGCACAGAGTATTGATATGTGATGTATTAAGTCACAAAAGTAAGCTGTGACAATGTCAATATGCATTTGGATCCACAACATCTTTTTTAAATGTATTTGGATTGTTTTCTATGTGAAACAAACCAATTAACCACCTGTTGTAGTAACTGGTCTTTTTATATTTAAGCAGAATCCTGTAAGATTGTTTGTCTGTGCTTGAAAATATACCTTTGAAAAAATTTCGAATCACAAAATAGCGGTACCGTGATGTAGCACTGCAATGGTTGTCCAAATTACAGTATGCACAAAGAATAAATCAGCATTATTAGAGTCCGCACTAAACATTTCATATAATCACATTGAAGAACTATAACATTCCATCAAATGGAGTGGTTCAAATTTCTAGTGGGATTTTTACTTTGGTTGGCCTTATTTTATGCTCATTTTCTATTTCTTTTAGAGTATTAACACATGGCCAAAATAATTTAGTTACTACCTCATATGAACAATACAATGGTTACTACACATCACAGGAACCTAGTTTTGGGTTAAAGTCATTTTTGATTGCTTTTTTCCAATGGAATATGTATATACCAAGTTTTAGCAAAAATGCACACTTTGGCTCTTTTTTGGTATATGTTCTTTATATTTTAATGTGGGTATATACACTAGGAACAAACCAAATTGTGATTTATGGTCTTCATTTATTTTAATTGATAATGCTTTTAAATATGTTTCTGATTGTACATAGTGTAAAATAAACATGTTTTTTTAACATGCGGTTGTACAGTAGTTTGTTATCTGGCTTAGTCTGTATAGAGTAAGACTAAAATATATTAAGGAGAAAAAAGTGTTTAATTATTCTGCATTGAATCCTTACATACCCATTCTGGTCCCTCAGATATTTTTATTTGATGTGTCATCTCAGTTTCGTAAAGGGGCATCTTCAATAGAATCTTAACTTTCTGATGAGGAAAAACGAAACATTCATAGTTTTAGGGAGCAGGTGTTGGCAAACATTCCTCATCCCAATCCTGTTCACCACCTGTTTTTGTAAATAAAGTTTTATTGGAACACCACACCACATACTCATTTATGTGCTATGACTGGGTTAGCTGTACAGTGACAGGTGAGAGGTTGCAAGAAAGCTGTATGGCTTACAGAGCCTTAAATATTTACCATCTGACCCTTTATAGAAAATTTCTGCCGACTTCTGGGTTACAGAAAAGAAGGGGGCAGTGTTGGGGAATGCCGTTCTGGAGGTTAAGGAAGGGGACACCTGGGTAGGAAGAACTGCATTGTGTCATGAGGCACCATCTCTTGCTAGTCCACTACCCTTCTTTGTGACTTTACGTAATTTACTTGACTCTAGAACAGTTTCCTTATTTTAAAACGCAACTTCTAAATCGTATTAGGAATAACGTTATCATCAGTTGTTGAAAAACAGAATCATGGAAAAAATTTTCAAGAAATCAAGATTCCGTTTTTGGCATTTATTGACAAGGCAGTGCCTTTTTCTGGGCCACTGTTTTTTTTTAGTTTCCAAGTCCTATATGCTACATAAAGGGCCACATCTCAAAAAAAAAAAAAAAAAAAAAAGTCAACCATCATATTTAATTGTCAAACACTTAGAATTATTTCCAGAAGTGCAGCTGGTTTGTATGCTACTCGGGCTTTTTAAAAATATGGACCCCTGGAATCACTCCCTGGGGGTGAGGCCCAGTGACATAATCTTTTTATAAAATTGTACAGATTTTTCAGATGTGCAGCCCCTGTGTGGGAAACACTGATCGACTTGAATTTAAACCAGTTTTCTGAAGATGATCCAAGGATCACATGCCTCAGAATAATCTGATGACCCTTAAAAATGCAACTTTGTAGCTCTACCTAGTAGATTCAGATTAAGGATCTTTATTCACTCAAAAGGAAAAGAGCCATTCACCTAAATGTTGGAAACGATGTATTTCATCTTCATTGAACAAGCTATCTTGTTAGCTAGTTTTTTAGATATTAGTGTTGAAATGAGACTGGTTGTTTCACAGGCCTGTTGCCATCATTCAGCTTGCAAGTGTGCCTCTGATTTCAGAAGAGATCCAGGAATAAAGGACAGCGGGTTTCACCATTATTAGAGATGAAAATGTGTGCCATACAAAATAATAGGTAAGTGCTAGAGTATGACTTGAGGGAATATGGTAAGCGCCCAGTGCTGTGTGACAGGTGACTATCCTACATGCTTTATATAGATGCTACCACTGGAGTGCCACAACAGCCCTGTGGCTAGGGTATTGTTCATGCCATTTCACAAATGAAACCGAGAAGCACATACATCTTAAATAACTTGCCTAAGAATAAAGCTGATAAGTGGTAGAGTGAGGATTTAAACCCAGGCCACTTGGTTCAAAGTGTATACTCTTTACTAAGTATGGATTACACAGAATACAAGCAGTGTACATATCCACTGCCCTCAAATACACAGAAGCATCTTCCCCCCAGGAAGTTAGATTTATTTCTCCAGGAGTTGGATTCCAAATCCTGATTTTCACTATGTCTTGCAACAAGAGAAATTAACCTGCCTTAATTTACTGTTTCTTTGCCAAAAGCATTTTCTTTATTCAGAGTGTTTTGTTACTAGAATATTTTATTTGCATAACTTTACAACTAAAGTGTATTAAGTAAGTCTAGTCAAAAGTCGTTGCAAAGACTGTGTGTGTGAGATAGTCACTTATTTAACCAACTTCTATTGATCACTTTCAGTGTATCCAGGTACTAACAGATGTAAAAGGCATCATTTCCAAGGTTCAAGGACCTCATTTGGATGAAAACCAATAAATGTAAAGAAAGGTACAAAGGCTGCACCAAATTCTGATTTGGGAAAAGGAAAGCCTTTATGTAGAAAGTTATATGTAATCCAGGTTGTTGATGGATGAAGAGTTTATCAAGTACAGGAGAAACGGGTAGTCAGCTGTAGGCTAGACCTTGAATGCAGGTGCTGGGAACAGTGGTGGAACCGTGATGATAAATGCAGCTGAGTGTAGGGTGCCTGGAGCACAGCAACGGGGGCATGAAGCTAGAAAGCAAGGTTGGGCCTGATGATGGAGGGCTTCCGGATGAGAAAGGAGCTACTCTAGTAGTCCAGAGTTTCAGGAACTTCATAGATCAAACACATGACCATGAAAACGGGCCGCTGGGTTTGTGCATAGGCGATCACCTGTGTCCTTATTGAGAAAATTTTCTATAGCATGATGAAGGCAGAAATGGGTACATGTGAGTTCTCTGGGAGTAGGCTTGGTCTTGAAGGAGAAAGGAGATAAAGGTTATTTCTGGCTTTGTTTTCTAAGCCAATGAAGGCAACGGAGAACAAGATGAGAAAAAGGGAGCAGAGTGACGCGAAAGAAGAAGGGGAAATAAGGCCAACCTAATTCCGGCATGATGGGGAGCATTTTGTTGATGCTAAAGTATGTATGTGCTCATTAACAATTTTAAGTTCATATTTGGAAACAAGAAGGGTAAGCTTTGGCAAAAATGATATTGTCCAGTGTTCATCACATTATTTGCCTGACTTGCTTCCCCACTGGGTGGCAAATTGGTCTCCTGAATCAGCCCCACACACTACTACCGTGCTTGCTGAGTTATGAAACTGGCAGCAAAGTGCACCACAGCTAAGAGCTGCTTGTCTCGGAAAAGCCTCCAGAAGTTTGCCGAAAAGCTATTTGGACAATAAAAGCAGGAATGAAAATTACTAATAACAGAGGACCTGACAAACTTAAGAGCTCTGCCTTGGCGAGGAAACGGCCTCATTTCAACGTTTACGTCTGCTTTATTTTAGTGCTCTTGCGGACTCGGAGAGGAACAGGACTCGTACAATCACAGTGTTGCTGGAAAAGTAGTTTAAATGTGTCCGGAGCGCCTTCTTCAGGGCCCCATCGGGTTCCGAGCCGAAGCCCCTGCTGCGTCCGGACTCCGACGTTAGGGGCCCCGCCCAGAGGTTGCCCGCCGAGACCGGCGGCGGGGCCGGGGCTTCCCCTGCGGCAGGTGCCGGGGCCGCTCCGGAAGCCGCCCTGCCCGCGCGCCCGGAGCGTCCGGTTGCCCGGGAGACGCCGCGGCCACCGCTCCGCAGTTACCGTGCGGCGGCCGCCTGCGCACAGCGACCCCCGCCGGGTTGCGGCCGCTCGGGGCCGCGCGAGACTACGTCGCCGCCGCCGGGTCCGCGCCGTAAGTGGGGTGCTCGCTGGGGGCCGGGGGCCTGCGGGCTGGCGCGGGGGGCTGATAGAGAAGTGGAGTCAGCTCACACGCTCCCAGATATGGGAGGGCTCCTGAGGGCAGGGGAGAGGGCTGCCTTCCCCCTCGGGAGCCTCCGGGGGGACAGGCAGGGTGGGGGCGAGGGCCCCGAGGTGACCGGGTGCTCCCGCCAGCCGCACGCCCCACCCGCTGCGGCTCCCCAGGGGCTAGAAGGAGGTGCGGTGCTGGGTGGAGATCCGCGTAGGGAAGCGGCCGCGGGGACGCGGGGGCGGTGGTGGCAGAGGGGCAGCGCGGGGAGGGGGCGAGGCGGGGGGGGGGGGTGCCTGCGCTTTGGGAGACCCTTGTGTGGCCGAGAAGCTGGGCTGCCATTGAAGGGTCGAGACCTCTTTAGAGACCTGGAAATAAAGAGGACTATCTATGCCAAGCTTCCAGACATGCGTACATATGAAATACAGGGTTTAAAAAAAAAAAAACAAAATTAGTTTCTTGGGTCATATAAACTATATGGACTTCTGGTTTCCTGGGGATTGCTTTCAATTAGTCTGTACTATCACCAAGACAAGTTTATTAACAGGTGTGTGTACTTCTGAGGTTCTGTAATTCAGGATTGTGTTCCTAAGACGGATGTAGGTGGGTTTTGTAGCCCACCTTCGCGATCCGTTTTATTAAAGAGGAATACTGCAGGCTTGGTTGCACTGGAAACCGTAATAACAACATGGCACGTTGTGCCTTGAAGCCTGCAGAATCCAGCTCGGCTGGCCTGGTCTTGAAAAGGTCTCCTTTCCCCCTCATTCCTGACGCCCCCGCTTACACCAGTTTCTTAGAAACTTTAGGAAGCTAGTATTTTTTCACCCCATTACTCTCCCGTTTCTTAATTTTGATTTTCTCCGCCCCACCCACCCCTCGTGCACTCCATAGGCTTGCTTGAGCCCGCAGGACCTGCTTTGTGATACCATCACAGAAAACGATCTGCCTCCCAGTGTTTCCTCTGTTCCTGTGTGCACCCCTTCCTTAAGACTAAGGAAATTAAATAGAAAACTTTCGAAGAATTTAATGATCCACTCAAGTATCTTACCTTTCTGTATTTGCCAGTGGGCCCAAGTCTATATCTGTTTTTGCCTTTGTACACAGAACTTCATGAATTGAACAGATATTTGGTAAATTTTGAAGTCAGGAGGCTTCAAGATATATATAGTCAAGATATATATATGTATATATACATGTATATGTATATAGGATACACATATATATACATATAAGATATATATGTATATAGAATATACATATTCAGTTGAATATATTCAGTTGAAGGTCACTAATGACTATGAAAAATAGTTTCAACCAATTTCATCTTTTCCCTGGCAATAGCTATATCACTGCTTAATCTTGATTTCCTGCCCACATACTATCTTAAAACCAAAACGTGATTATTTCCTTTGCTTAAAGGAGAATGTCATTTCACATATTTAGTGGAAAAGTTAGAGAATAAAATGAAGGAAAGACTCCAATCGGTTGAGCGCCTGCCACGTGCCAGCCAATGGGCTAAGAATGCAGTCAGGTGTAAAGAATAATGCGTAAAAAAGGAGTGGGAAAGTCACGAACACAGTATGTGTGCAGAGAAAGAGTCTGCTTTTGGGGATTGGGGAAGGCTAAGGGAAAGGACATTTGAGTTGAATTCCAAAGATGAGGATTTCAGGGTCAGACCTCCCCAGCAGTGGCATAAGCAGAGACAGATCCGATAATGTCTGGGGAAGAATCGGAGGAGCATTGTGGGAAAGGTCCATTGGGACCTAGAGCCCACAGACTGTGAGATCGTGACCTGAGCTGAAGTCAGACACTCAACTGACGGAGCCACCCAGGTGCCCCATGGATACAAATGCTTTAACTATTGTTTTCTTCAGTCTCTGGCTCTCTTCATTTTCTCAATGGGTCAGTTTTTTTGAAAGCAAAAGATTTTAATTTTGATGAATTCCATCTTACCATTTTTTTCTTTTATGCATCATGCTTCTGGTGTCATATCTTAGAAATCTTTGCCTAACTTAAGGCCACAAAGATTTTTCTCTTATTTTTTGGCTAGATGTTGTACAGTTTTAGCTCCTGCATTTTGATCTGTGATGCATTTTGAGTTAATTTTGGTATATGTGCGAGGTCTTTACATTTTTTTGTTTTTATTTATTACATATGTACACTAACTGTCCTAGCATCATTTGTTGAAAACAATATTCTTTTTTCATTGAATTGCCATGGCATCTTTGCGAGAATCAATTGACACTAAAGAAAAGGGCCACTTCTTGACTCTCTATTCTGTTTCACTGATAACGTATGTCTGTCTTTACGCCAATGCCATATTCTTTTCATTTACTATAACTTTATGGTAAAATTTAAAGTCAGATGTTGTAAGTCTCCCAAGTTTCTTTTTATTGCAGTTGCTTTGGCTGTTCTGGGTCCTGTGAGTTTCCACACCAATCTTAGGCTCATCTTGTCCATTTCTATCCCCCAATAGACAATAGACAAAGAGTCTATTGGGAATCCATTGTTGTTGTTTTTGTTGACTTTTTCTCCCTCCTTGAGTATCAGGAACACTTTCCTTTTGCTTAGCCTCTCTCATAATGTTTTCATTGAAAACTGGACATTTTAGATAATACATCAAGGCTGGATTCCAGTTTTCTCCCCTGCGGGTTTTTTTTGCGGGTTGGTTTTTGTGTTTGCAACCTGCCTGTATTCCAGAATCTACCTCCTTCCGACTGTGTGACGGTTGGTGTCTGCGTTCCGTGTTTTAATTATTTTAGTCAATCAGCCCTCAAATCTGCCTCGGCGTTCACGTCCCCGAGACCTTATCAGGTCTTCCCTCCGCGTGCCTCAGCGCTTCCCTGTCAGCCAGGGGTAAGCGGAAAGCCAGCCTGGCCCTTCTACGGTCTTCCGCTTCCACGACCTTCCCATAAATTGTTGGCCAGGCCGCAGCTCGCTCCAGCCGGAGCTACGTCCTAGGGTCTGCGGAGCTGTGGGGCTTTCCCCCATTCGTTGCCTGCTGAATTTGTAAGGGTTTTCCTGGCAGCACAGCCACAGGGTTTCGACCCGTCACAGGCTGGGGCCTCTCCAGCACACCTTCTCTTGGAGTGAGGCTTCCGGTTCATGGCCAGTGCGCGGTAGCCGCGCTGCACCTGCTGAGCGGAGGGGTGAGGGCAGAGGAGGCGGGGCACCAGCCCAGGCGGGAAGCCCCCGACTCGCACTGTTCTTTTTTTTTTTTTTTTAATTTTTTTTTTTATGTTTTATTTATTTCTAGGAGAGAGAGAGACAGCGTGAGCAGGGGAGGGTCAGAGAGAGAGGGAGTCACAGACCGAAAGAGGCTCCAGGCTCTGAGCTGGCAGTCAGCACAGAGCCCGACGCGGGGCCCGAACCCACGAACCGCGAGATCATGACCTTAGCGAAAGTCGGACGCTTAACCGACTAAGCCACCCAGGCGCCCCTACGACTCGCACTGTTCTTAAGGCGAGTTCTAACTCATCGTGAGTAAATACTTCTCCATTTGTGTTTTTTGCCTTTGGTTGCTTTCCAGAGCCCCCAAATTGGTATGCGTTGGTTTGGGTTGTCATTTCAGTTGTTTTGACAATTTCCCCTGGTCTTGTGTTTTAGGAAGAGAATTCACCAACCCCTTCACCCCGCAGTAGTCGAAGTCTGACCCCCGGTGCCTTTTTGGGGGATTTTTAAAATATAAGCTTTATTTCTTATACAGAAACCGCTTTAAATTCTCAACCTTAAACAGTTAAATTTTCATAAACTCTTGTTTTTCTAGAAAATTATCCATTTCATCTAAGTTTTTAAATACATCTTTATAGACACCTGCATGGGGCGCCTGGGTGGCTCACGCGGTTAAGTGTCTGACTTCTGCTCAGGTCGTGATCTCGCGGTTCGTGGGTTCGAGCCCCACATCGGGCTCTGTGCTGACTGCCAGCTCAGAGCCTGGAGCCTGTTTCAGAGTCTGTGACTCCCTCTCTCTCTGACCCTCCCCCCTCCCTTTCTCTCTCAAAAATAAACATTTAAAAATAAATAAAGATATAGATGCCTTCAGAGTAGACTCATGATTTTTTAAAAATTTGTTCTGTTTTGGTTTATTACCTCCTGTTATTTCTTATTGTGTATATTCGTTCTTTCTCCCTTTTTCTTGAATATGCTAGTTATAGGTTTATTTAATTTTTTTTCAAGGAACTAGGATTTGGGTTTATTAATTAGATCTATTATTTCTGTATTCTCTATTAATTTCTGCTTCAATGATATTGTTTCTTGTGCTTTGTGTTGGTCTATTTTGTAGTTCTTTTTTAGATTACTGCATTTACTTATTATTTTTACTCTTTTATCTTTTCTTCTATATTGTTTTGATCCCTGGATTTTTCTTCTTTCAATTTCTATATGTCAGGGTGTCTCAACCATAGCACTGTGAACATTTTGGATAGATCATTCTTTCTTGTGGGGCTCCATCCTGGGATAAATATTTAGCAGCATCCCTGGCCTCTACAGACTATAACAATCAAAAATGTCCCCAGACATTGAAAAATTCCTTTGAGGGCCAAAATCACCCCCAGTCAAGAACCCCTGCTTTAAATGTATCCCATTGATTTTGATATGTAGTGTTTTCATTTTTTTTTTTTCAGTTCCATTATTTCAGTTTGTATTTCCCCCTTTACCCAATAGGCCTTTAATTGAAGGCTTTTAAAGTTTCTGGGTAGGTCTTTTTTTTATTATATATGTATCTTTTAAAAATTGTATTAATTTTTAGTTTGATAGTTTGTGCTCAGAATGTTTTTATAATACTTCTAGTCTTGGGAACTTTATGATATGTGCTTGAGAAGAAGATTTTAGATTATCAGAGTATAAAATTCAATATATCTCTCTCCTAAAGATCTACCTTATTGGTTATATTGTTTAGGTCTTCTGCATAGTTACGTTTTTTTTTTTGTTTGTTTGTGTTTTTTTTT